AGGGGGGGGGGGTCAGGAAGGAAGGGTGAAGGGGGAGAGGTTGGTGAAGGGAGAGGGAGAGAGTGTTGGTGAGGGAGGGAGGGAGAGTGTTGGTGAGGGAGGTTGGTGAAGGGAGGGAGAGGCAGGTGTTGGAGGGAGAGAGGAAGGAGGGAGAGGGAGGGAGAGGGGTGGGAGAGTGTTGGTGAGGGAGGGAGGCAGGAAGGAGGGAGAGTGTTGGTGAAGGGAGGGAGAGAAGGGAGGGAGAGTGTTGGTGAAGGGAGGGGAGGAGTGGGGTGAGGGAGGGAAGGGAGGGAGAGTGTTGTGAGGGAGGGAGGAGGAGAGGTGAGGGAGGGAGAGTGCTGGTGAGGGAGGGAGAGAGGGAGGGAGGTTGGTGAAGGGAGGGAGAGAGTGTTGGTGAGGGAGAAAGGAGGGAGGGAGAGTGTTGTGAGGGGAGGTTGGTGAGGGGAGGGAGAGAGTGTTGGCGAGGGGAGGGAGAGTGCTGGTGAAGGGAGGAGAGTGTTATGAAGGAGAGAGTGTTGGTGAACTAACGGTATGTCGAAATTAGAAAAAGAATTTGCGGTTTGCCACTTTTACACACACACACACACACACACACACACACACACACACACACACTTACCTGTAACTCAATTTTCAAATATTCTCAACCCATCCTCATCGTTTCCTATCATCACAAGGAAGGGCAGGCAGGGCAGGGCAGGGCAGGGCAGGGCAGGCAGGGCAGGGTAGGGCAGGGCAGGGCAGGGTAAAACAGAGCAAGGCAGGGGGCAGGGCAGGGCAAGGCAGGGCAGGGCAGGGGCAGGGCAGGCAGGGCAGGGCAGGGCAGGGCAGGCGGGGCATCATGGCCGCCTGGTCCCCGTAGCCTCCAGGCCTGCTGGACATTCCTACACACCGGACTCATAGACACGCTGGCTTGCTGCACATGCTGTTGCTGCTGTTCTTGCTGTCTGCTGTTACTAATCTTGCTGTCTGCTGTTACTAATCTTACTGTCTGTTGTTACTAATCTTACCGTCCTGTTGCTGCTGTTCTTGCTGTCTGCTGTTACTAATCTTGCTGTCTGCTGTTACTAATCTTACTGTCTGTTGTTACTAATCTTATTGTCTGCTGTTACTAATCTTGCTGTCTGCTATTATTAATCTTGCTGTCTGCTGTTACTAATCTTATTGTCTGCTGTTACTTACTAATCTTGCTGTCTGCTATTATTAATCTTGCTGTCTGCTATTTACTAATCTTACTGTCTGTTGTTACTAATCTTATTGTCTGCTGTTACTAATCTTGCTGTCTGCTATTATTAATCTTGCTGTCTGCTGTTACTAATCTTACTGTCTGTTATTTACTAATCTTATTGTCTGCTGTTACTAATCTTGCTGTCTCTTTCAGCTATTAATCTTGCTGTCTGCTGTACTAATCTTACTGTCTGTTGTTACTAATCTTATTGTCTGCTGTTACTAATCTTGTTGTCTGCTGCTACTAATCTTGTTGTCTGCTGTTACTAGTCTTGTTGTCTGCTGCTACTAATCTTGTTGTCTGCTGCTACTAATCTTGCTGTCTGCTGTTACTATTCTTGTTGTCTGCTGTTACTAATCGTGTTGCCTGCTGTTACTAATCTCGCTGTCTGCTGTTACTAATCTTGTTGTCTGCTGTTACTAATCTTGTTGTCTGCTGTTACTATTCTTGTTGTCTGCTGTTACTAATCGTGTTGCCTGCTGTTACTAATCTCGCTGTCTGCTGTTACTAATCTTGTTGTCTGCTGTTACTAATCTTGCTGTCTGCTGTTATTATTCTTGTTGTCTGCTGTTATTAATCTTGCTGTCTGCTGTTACTAATCTTGCTGTCTGCTGTTACTATTCTTGTTGTCTGCTGTTATTAATCGTGTTGCCTGCTGTTACTAATCTCGCTGTCTGCTGTTACTAATCTTGTTGTCTGCTGTTACTAATCTTGTTGTCTGCTGTTATTGTTCTTCTTCTCTGCTGTTATTGTCATTGTTGCTGATTGGTCGAGGTGAAGAGCAAGGAAAACGAACATATAACAAAGAACAAGAACACTGTAGTGGTTCAGTACACACGTGGTTCAGTACACACGTGGTTCAGTACACACGTGGTTCAGTACACACGGAGTCATTTAATGGATGTATGTGGTTGAATGTGTGGATGAGTTTGGATTAAGTGCGGTAAAGCGGATAGGTGGGTGGATAGGCTGGGTGTGATGGGCGTAAGTGGACTCCTAGGTATGGTGTGGTGTGGGCGGGGTGGGTGTAAGGTAACCTACTCTTTGACCCAGGATAATGATGGGTGGTGGTTGGGCAGGGACAGAGTGGGTGGGTATTGTGAGTGGGCGGCCTGGGCATATTGTGTGGGCGTGTGGGGGATGAGTGTATATTTCCTGGGTGGTGTGGGTCGAGTGGGTGGTGTGGGTGGGGTGGGTGGTGTGGGCGGGGTGGGTGTAAGGTGAGCCGCCCTGGGCTGTAGGTTCACGTTACAGGCGTGAGAAGGTTCTGACTGAGTCATCCTCACACTGATACAGGCCAAGCTCTCTCCTCGACCTGTAATATCTAGAGCCTGTATTGTGCTTGGAGACTGTAACCTGTAATACTTGTACTATAAGATGATAGCCACAGTTCAAAAGCCTGAATTCACCTCGGCCTGTAACGAGTAGCCTGCATTTCTTGTGCTTGTAGACTGTAACTTACAATCCTGGTTTTGTAAGATGTAATTCACATTTCAATAGCCTGTATTCACTGTACTTAGATACTGTAATCAGCTCTGTAGCCTGTAGCCTGTATTCTTCGTGCTTGCAGATTGTAATTTAAGTCTCTGCTGCCTGTAACTTTCCTGCAACATGCTACTGTTCTCTTGACGTCACGAGAGAGAGAGAGAGAAAATACTGTTAACAGGTTTTCTCACCGTTGCTCCGTTATTACATACTGTTGCCCCGTTATTACATACTGTTGCCCCGTTATTGCATACTGTTGCCCCGTTATTACATACTGTGGCCCCGTTTTAATACTGTTGATTGCCGTAATGGTAACTTACCTGTACCGTACCTGTAGGCTGGGTTAAGTCCCTGTTACACCCTCACCTCTCATCGCTACTCCCCCTCACCCCTCCCTCCCCTATTAACCCTCACCTCTATTCCTCCCCCTCTCCCTCACCCCCTCCCCCCCCACGCTGTTGTTTCCCTCCAGTATCAACAAACTCTTCCTGTATAAACAATCTTCACCCACAACGACGTCAACTATCTGCAACATATTTTTATCTTGCGTCTCTTCTGCCTCTTATAACTTATGCCGATTTTGTGTTTCTACAGCTTCTCTAACCTAACCTAACCTGACCTGACCTGACCTAATCTAACCTAACATAACCTGACCTGACCTGACCTGACCTAACTTAACCTAATCTAACCTAACCTAAGATAATAATAACAATAGTGTACCAGCCGAGAGAGGGAAACAGAGAGGGTTAACATAAGAACATAAGAATGGAGGAAACTGCAGCGGGCCTACTGACCCATACTGGGCAGTCCCGTTTATACCCAACCCCTATTGCTCATATAAGCATCCAACCTATGTTTGAAGCTATCCAGCGTATTCGAGTTAATGATGATATTTGGTAACTTTTTCCATTCATCCACTACTCTGTTTCCAAACCAGTGTTTACCTATTTCACGCCGAAATCTAAATTTGTCTAATTTAAAACCATTGTTACGAGCCGAGGGAGGAACAGAGAGGGTTGTACCAGCCAAGAGAGGGAAACAGAGAGAATTGTACCAGCCGAGGGGGGAAACAGAGAGTGTCAACACGACTGGCCCAGAAGCACACCACCACCACCACCTGATATCCCTTCACAGTTGACTGGCGTAACGCTATACAACCGCTCTCTTAAACTGACCCACAACCTCTTATCTTGGGAAATTATTTACATAGATTTATACCAAGTTACATTAAAAAGTATTACCAAGACAGACGGGAGATATTATCGCTGGGAGATAAGAGTACGGGAGGCCACTAGACGTCGTCCTCAACTTGGCAACAATTATGGAGACGAGCGGTGAAGAAGGCGATGATGGAGGATACTGCATTCTTCTTTTTTTTCACATTCTTCTCCATAATCCTTCTTCTTTCTTGCCCTTGAGGGAAACCATATAGAGTAAATTTCCCTCTCAAGTTAGTTTAGTAGTTAATGATATAATATAAAGCCATAAAATAGACTTAGAAGAGTTAAGGAACAATTGTGTGTGGTTGATACTCCCCGGCCCGGCCCTGACATGAGCCGCGTTCAGTTGACACTAGCGGGCCAGGGTGTTCTCAACCCCCTCGAAGGAAGGTTAGGTTACACACCTCTAACCAGCCACCCAACCTTATTGTGTTTTTGCTGCCTCGCCTCCAGCAACAGTATGTCATATAGCCTATATTTTTCGCCTGCTTGCCGTGTTTTACTATACCTAGAATGAACTTTGGTGCGAGAGGTGGAAAGCTCACGTGTGTGTGAGTATGTGTGTGTGTGTGTGTGTGAGAGAGGATCCCACTGAAGGTCCTTTATAGTGCGACAGTCATTATTGTTCACGGGGCTTATCTACCCAGGAGGAGGAGGAGGAGGGGAGGAGAAGTAGGAGGATGGAGGCGGAGGAGGAGGAGGAGGAGGAAGAAGACAAGTGGGTAGAAAAGTTATTTTTCAAGATTCCAGACCTGGTCATTAATCTAGGCACGTGTGTGTGTGTGTGTGTGTGTTCGTGTGTGTGTGTGTGTGTGTGTGTGTTCGTGTGTGTGTGTGTGTGTGTGTGTGTGTGTGTGTGTGTGTGTGTGTGTGTGTGTGTGTGTGTGTGTGTGATTAAGTATTGTATATCTTCTCATTACACCAAACCTAACCTAACCTAACCTTACCTAATCTAATCTAACCTAATCGGTGTCTTAATGAAACCGAGCAAATGTCACCAATTCATTGTTATTAAGTTTTAACAACATAAAGAGCGTAACACACACACACAGACACACTACATTAACCAGGTCTTACCCACAGGAGAAGCGACTCGGCTCCTGGTCCTACGGTGAAGGAATTCGGAGAAGGTGGAGGAGGCAGGTGTGTACAGGTGTGAGCAGGTGCCTCCGGATACACCCGACAGAGGTCAAACTACCGTCCACTGCCCGTCCATTTCTACCTGGCTGCCTGTGAGGGGCTGAGTGGACCAAGAGCAACAACTTGTCCAGGTGATTACTTCTCGGGTGTGGATGGGGATGGGTGTGGATGGATGGGGGATAGTTCTGTGGATGGGATGGGTATGGATGGTGAGGAACTAATGGATAGGTCCTTATCGTTTATTTTAGGGATGGTAAACTATCGGGTGTCTTATGGACGGACGCTGTGCATCAGGTGTCTACGGTAAACAAGTGTTATAAGTTATTGAGGAAAAAGGACCTTGTTGTTGGCGTTGTTGTTGTTGTGCTTGTAGTTTTTATTGCATTGTTGGAGGGATTGGTGGAGGGCCTGGTGGAGGGCCTGGTGGAGGGCCTGGTGGAGGGCCTGTGGAGGGAGTGGAGGGCCTGGGAGGCGCCTGGTGGAGGAGCCTGGTGGAGCCTGGTGGAGGGAGGAGGCCTGGTGAAGGGAGTAGGAGGCCTGGTGGAGGGCCTGGTGGGGGGGCTGAATGAAGGACCTAGTGGAGGGAGCCAGTGGGAGGGCTAGTGGGCGTCTGGTGGAGGGTGGAGGGCCTGGGGCGCCTGGTGGAGCTAGTGGAGAGGGGCCTGGGTGGAGGGGGAGGTGGAGGGCCTGGTGAAGGGAGTGGAGGGCCTGGTGGAGGGAGTGGAGGGAGTGGAGGGCCTGGTGGAGGGAGCAGTACAGAAAGTGGGCCGTAAAAACTTTGTGTTCCCATCGGTGTATAATTTCCCTGGGTGGGTCGAGGCGGCCCCCCGGGCGGGCGGGGGCCTCCAGGGGCGTGAGAAGCGCTACCCGGGGGGGCGTCGATCCCAGGGGCACCGCCGCCCAGCCTACCAGGGTTACACCACCCACCCATCCTCCTCACGATACATTTCTCTTCCTAAGGTATCACCAACACCCGGTGTCATAGAGAACAAGATCTGGTGGTCACAAGGTTGGTGTCAGAAGGTTAGTGTCACAAGGTTAGTGTCTGAGTTGGTGTCAGTGTGGGTGTCATAGGGTTGGTCTGAGTTGGTATCACAGGGTTGGTGTCACAAGATTAGTGTCACAAGGTTGGTATCAGAGTTGGTGTCACAAGGTTGGTGTCACTGTGGGTGTCACAAGGTTGGTGTCAGAGTTAGTGTCACAGGATGGGTTTCATAAGATTGGTGTCACAAGGATGGTGTTTGAGTTGGTATCACAAGATTGGTGCCGTTGTTAGTGTCATACAGGTGGTGTAAGGAGATTGACTGTGCTCAATTGGCCAATACCAGACTGGGGTGGCCACTGCCAGGCTAGGCTTGGGTGGCCAATACCAGGCTGGGATGGCCACGACTAGGCCACAACTAAGTCGAGGACACCGCTGCCAGTCTAAGGTGATCACTACCAGGATCAAGTGGCCACTGGGAGACTGTGGCCACGCTGAAACAGCAGTGGCCAAGATGGGAGGGGCCGTGGCCAGGCTTGATGAGCCGAGGGCCAGACTGAGGTAGCGTGGCCAGGCCGGGCTGCCGTGGGGGTCTTCTCAGTAGTCACAAAAAACATCATGGCTAGAAGGCAAATTTTGTTCCGAGGCAAGAGCCGGTCCTCCCCCCACTGCCGCCACACACCTTCCGATATACCTGGCCGCCCGCCTCGGCTGGCCTGTTACCGTCCCGCCCACACCTGTCGCCTCCGCTGCTGATTGGTTGACAATTGCAGGTAGGCGGGGCTTGAAGAGTACGGGGAAGCGGGTAGGCCAATGAGGGGGACGGGTGGGAGGGGTGAAGGGGTGTGGAGGTGCGGGGATGTGGTCGGGGTGGTGGAGGGCGGTGCAGGTGTGGCGGTGTGGTGTCCCCCAGAGTGCAGGGCCCTGGGTGGTGGGCGCGCGGCGGGGGGCGGGGACCTGACCACGCCGCACGCTGGCCGCCAGTCCCGCCGCAGCGGCCCCACACGCCGCACCTCCACCTCACTCTCCGCACCGTCGACCTCCCGCTCGTCTCCACCACAGGTCCGCACCCTCGTGGTCATTACACACTCCCGGAACCGTAACCAAACCTTCGCTGCTTCATACTTTTCAGATCTCCTGCCCGAGTATGTTGTGTGAGGCTCCTGGGTCACTCACGCGGGAAAAACCTATCTTAATTATATCACCTTTCATGACTAGTAAGAGATATATTTGATGACCCGATCTCATAATTCTACTTTCAAATGTGTGTTTGTAAAGGTGCCATGCCTTGTGCTGTCCTCTGTGTCGTTCTAAATTCACGTCTTTGAATTTGCAGGTTCGGTCTGGTGCCTATAATCACATCCATCAAAAGTGTTTAGAAGAAGATATTTGCCAGACAAGATAGTGATAAAAATAAACACTTAATGTTGACGCTCCACCTCGGATCTTTCCAACAAGTGCTGTGACAATCGCTTACTCAGAAGACAACGTCACCTGGACGCTGGTTAGAATCCCCTCAGTGAATCGTCCTTCGCGGAACTCGGAAGGAATTTGACACCAGGTGGAGACCAGCCGGGTCCCACACACGTCGACAGGTAATACCTCAGACTGACCACAACACCACTACCGGGAACATGTGCCCAGGTAGATGACTTTCCTCTTAAAAAAAAAAAAAAATATTTTATCATAAACAGACAATGACAACAAAGTAAAACATTCACTACGAACAAAACTCCGCTAAAACAACAAAAGAAAAATTCGGTGGAAAGGAGAATTAGGACATAAACTATCGGGAAGTACCAGACCAGATCACCTGACCACCACTACCACCACCACCAGGAGGAACCAAGAGGACAGATTCCAGTGTGGGGGACATTGTGACCACCAGCACGAAAAATCCTATCCCTCCTCCAGGAGCCTCACGTTGAGGAAGAACCTTTACCAGCCACCATCACCACCTGCACGAAGCCAACATTATCCCCAGCAGGAAGGATCACCTGTGCACGCAGGAGGCAAACATTAGAAGGAGACCACGTCACCACCAGCAGGGGCAAGACGTCACCTCTCGTGAAGGAGGGGACGACGGAGCCACGCTACACCACGACATGACGCCAGACTGTCCAATGTCACCCGGGGAACAAGACGCACCCGACCTGATATGCAAGTAAGTTACCTGTACTGTTACCTGGGACCTGTGAACTGACCCTAGGGCTCTGTACTTTGCCCTAGAGGCCTGTAATTTGCCCCAGGGACCTATAATTTACCCTAGGGACCTGGGATGTTGCCACGGGGGTGTGTCAGACAGCTAAAGGTATTTTCCGTGGGCTGGACACCTGTAACCCAGGGAGTTGCTGGGATCACTGGAGGCACCTGTGTCTTATAATGGGCGGTAAGATACCTGGGTGACCCGAGGGAGCTGTCATTTTTACCTGAGGCAGCCCGAGGGACCTTCACCACCCGGTCGGAACTCTTGATCAGCTGACTGGATGCCCCGCGGGGTGCCCCACGGGAGGCATTCATCAGCTGTTGGGAAACCCGCGCCAGGAATACCAAAGTAATAATAACAGTTAATCTAAGTATCAAGGTGAGGCAGCCGGTGTCTCTGATGTAAACAAACTGCCTAAAGCAATTTTATCCAATGGCGTGTCTCTGGGGCTAAATTGACCAATCAGATGATGGATTAGTGTAAGCAAAAACAAGGATGGCCAAAGATCACGTTTATAAAGAAGACTGGAGGGATTTTATTTACCTGTTAATGACTGTGATTACCTTAGGAATTTATTCATTAATGATGGATTAACATAATACCTGTAGTGATGAGAGCAATTTAAGTTAATGTCATGAACAGGAAGTTGAAACGAGTTGGTGACAGTTATGATGACATTGAGAATATTATTACGGTAGTCGTATAAGAATAGTAGTAGAAATGGTAGTAGTAGTCGTAGTAGTAGTAGTACAGTAGCAGTAATTGAAATAGTAGCACTGATAGTAATAGGATATAGTAGTAACAGAAGTAGTCATTGTAGCAGAGGTGATAGTGATGATGATAGTAGTAGTAGTAGTAGTAGTAGTAGTAGTACTAGCAGTAGTCTTGGTAGTAGAGGTTTTCGTAGTAGTAGTTGTAGTGATGGTAGTAGTGGTTATAGTGATGGTAGTAGTGGTTATAGTGATGGTAGTAGTGGTTGTAGTGATGGTGGTAGTTGCCGGAGTGATGGTGGTAGTTGCCAGAGTGATTGTAGTAGTAGTTGTAGTGATTATAGTATTAACGTTAGGAGTTGATATCAGAATCTGTCCATAAGAACAAAAATAATAATAATAATATGAATAATAATAATAACCATCTACATATAAGAGTAGTAGTAGTAGTAGTAGTAGTAGTAGTAGTAGTAGTAGTAGTAGTAGTAAAACAGTCATATCAGAGAAGAAAAACCCGAATCATTACCAGATATATGAATAGATACTAAAATCGCCAGACAGACAAGAAGACTGACAGATAGATTATAGCTCAATATATCCACCACTAATAATACTCGTTGTTAAATAGCTCAGCGTCTATCATTAATATAAATTGAAGATTAACTTTATTTGTTTATCATCACCACAGTGTCTATAATAGTGAAGTTATCTCAGGTAAATAATTAAATTATATAAATTACAGGTATTAAAATGTTTATTATACTCTTCACTATATCTCTCTACTCACTTAATATAATGTAAAATAATATAACAGAAAACAAACATTATTTTAGGTTAGTTAATATAATATAATTTAACCTATTGCTAAGTATGTTTATTATATTATTAAACTAACCTAATTTACCACTAACATCAGCCTAACCTAACTTGTCATTAACATAATATGATTTAAACTAACACTAGCGTAACTTTAATCTGGTCTTTCCTAAACTACTACTAATCAAATCTACCCCCCACCTACCTGTCTCTTCCCTAATCTATTCTTAAAAACTCTCTCTCTCTCTCTCTCTCTCTCTCTCTCTCTCTCTCTCTCTCTCTCTCTCTCTCTCTCTCTCTCTCTCTCTCTCTCTCTCTCAATCACTTCCTTAAGGTTTCATAAATCACTGACAGGTAATATTGAGTGAGCACAGGTGAAGCAGTTACCTGGTGTACGACTAATTGGTGGGGAAGAGGAAGTTAGTTTATTATTATTATTGTTTTTGCTGCTGTTTTTTGCTATTATTGTCAGTGATAAAGAAATAGGAATAGTAGTAATTAACTTCTCTGTATCGTATAAATTCATAAAGTACATGGATGAATGTATGCATGTGTGTATAGAATCGTTGACATCATCCCAAAAGCCTTTAACAATCCACTAAAGATATTTCACTCTCTCATCTCAATAAACTGCTCATTATATTAACACTACGTAACCTTGATTTAAGACAGAAACACCATTCTACTGAGAGTAAGATTGCATTGCTTTTCATATGCAAAGTCCGGGCCAGTTGGTATGCAAATCACACTGTAAGGAACGTGAGGTACATTGCGGGTCTGTTGGCTATTGGGAATGACTGGTAGTAGTGGTAATAGTAGTGGTAATAGTAGTGGTAATAGTAGTAGTGGTAGTAGTAGTGGTAGTAGTATTTCCCCGCTACTTTTTTCCCCTAAAGACTTTGTGAATGATTACATTTTCTGTACCAAATTCCACAGTATTTTTTTTGTGATGTCAATCTTGTCTTTTAGTAATATTTACATTCTTAGTTAAATGAGAAGACGGTAGAAGCTGTGTGTTAGTGGTGGCGTCACGCATAGCTTTGTGTTATAGAGTTGGTGAATCACGTTTACACACACACACACACACACACACACAGACACACACACACACACAGACACACACACACACACACACGGAAGTTGAAAGGAGACAGAGAAAGGGATTATCTTCAGTGTTATTCTTTCATATTTCTTTCGTTCTTTCTTTCTTCTTGTTCTCCATCGTCTCTCTGCATCATAATGAGGGATTTTACGAAGGGGAGGAAAGCATGAGTAATACACGCACACACACACACACACACACACACACACACACACACACACACTACTGTAGTAAAGATCTGGCTTCCGAGACGTTAAATAATTGTTTACGAAGATAAATGATAATAATAATTATAATAACAGCAACAACAACAATAATAACAATAATAACAACAAAAACAATAATAATAACACAACAACAACAACAAAACAATAATAATAACAGTAATGAGATATAAGATTTTATTTTTGGTAATTAGGTCAATCTCTCTCTCTCTCTCTCTCTCTCTCTCTCTCTCTCTCTCTCTCTCTCTCTCTCTCTCTCTCATCCAGTTTTAAAGATTGTCTAACTATGGAATTGCTCAGATATTTTTGTGTGTGTGTTTTGGGGATATACATATGATGTGAGTGTGTGTACATATATTTAAACACACACACACACACACACACGCACACACAGCATCATACTCCCTCACCCCGTATGATATATCACGACATACTCTACTACCGTCTGTGTGTGTGTGTGTGTGTGTGTGTGTGCGCGTAAGTACGTGTGAGTATTTGTACCACTGAAATTGGACGCTGGCCCCCCCGCACACTGCCGAGACGCATCCACACAAACGCACACATATACGCACGCAGCTGGGGGCCGCCCGGGGTGTTGGGTGTACACACGATCAGGAGGTCACTGGGGAGTAGGGAGGGAGGGAGGGAGGAGAGATGGGTGGGAAGAATCAAATGAGAGAGAAAGGCGTGGGAAAAAGGGGAGACAGGGGGGGTGATACTCAGATAGAGACAGATAGATACATTGATACATAGAAAGACACATAGACTGATAGACAGACACACACAGACAGACAGATACAGAGATAGACAGACAGACATACACACCCTCTACTTCCTCGTCCTCTGCTCACTGTCGTTCACACATAAATGATAAAATAATCCCGAATCATAAATTAAAAAAAAATATTATAAAATTATCTATATTATTCTATGTTATTTACAACCTAACCTAACCCACCCCGGTATTAACCAGTACCCCAGTAACCCGGCATTAACCAGTACCCCAGTAACCCGGCGTGTAGTACCCCATTAACCTTGCATTAACCAGTACCCCAGTAACCCGGCATTAACCAGTACCCCAGTAACCCGGCATTAACCAGTACCCCAATAACCCGGCATTAACCAGTACCCCAGTAACCCGGCATTAACCAGTACCCCAGTAACCCGGCATTAACCAGTACTCTTGTCCCCAGGTGGGTCGGGTGTGGACTGGGGTTTGAGAGCCTTGATGAATTAGTATCACACCTGACGGCCGCTCACGTCACCTCCCAGCACGGCGCCTTCTTCTGCTTCTGGCATGGCTGCTCCAGGACCAAGGGCTTCAACGCTAGGTACGTGTTAAAGACTTCAACGTTAGGGCTTCATGGGTCAAGGGCTTCAATGCTAGGTACGTGTCAAGGGCTTCAACGCTAGGTACGTGTTAAAGACTTCAACGTTAGGGCTCCATGGGTCAAGGGCTTCAACGCTAGGTACGTGTTAAAGACTTCAACGTTAGGGCTTCATGGGTCAAGGGCTTCAATGCTAGGTAGGTCTCAAGGGTTTCATGAGTTAAGGGCTTCAACGCTAGATTAAATAAATAAACTTCAACGCCACGTAGGTCATTACTGTCCACTTACCCGCGGGCCTCAACGCCAACCACTGAGTTAGGGCCTCACACATAAACACACTCAATATATAAGTGTATCCTGAGTGTAAAGAAAATAGTATATATATATAAAACTGACTTATGTACTACCTATATCATTCCTTAATAACTATAGAAAAGTGTTTTATATATCAGGATTATAATGTATAGGTATTATTGGATCACGTTAAGATTAGTCACCCTAGATTATTATCACCTGATGATTAAAACACGTTAATACTTACCTGTATAGTGTGTGTGTGTGTGTGTGTGTGTGTGTGTGTGTGTGTGTGTTTTACAAGTGCATCTCATCATTAAATCTATCAAAAACCCGTGTGTAAGTGTGTGTCTCTGTCTGTCTGTCTGTCTGTCTGTCTGTCACCCCTTCACTAACATGCTCACTTCCTCCCTGACAGATACAAGATGCTCATTCACATCCGGACACACACTAACGAGCGGCCGTATGTGTGCAGTCAGTGTGACAAGCGGTTTAGTCGTCAGGAGAATCTTCGCATCCACGCCCGCACACACACAGGTGAGTCGGCCCTCTGGTTCAGGTTGATTGGTGCTGTCATAGGTAGATTGGCCTTCTCACAGGTAGATTGGTACTATCACAGGTTGATTGGTACTATTACAGGTTGATTGGTACCATTACAGGTAGATTGGTACTATTACAGGTAGATTGGTACTATTACAGGTAGATTGGTACTGTTACAGGTAGATTGGTGCTATTACAGGTAGATTGGTACTGTTACAGGTAGATTGGTACTGTTACAGGTAGATTGGTACTGTTACAGGTAGATTGGTACTATTACAGGTAGATTGGTACTGTTACAGGTAGATTGGTACTGTTACAGGTAGATTGGTACTGTTACAGGTAGATTGGTACTATTACAGGTAGATTGGTACTGTTACAGGTAGATTGGTACTGTTACAGGTAGATTGGTACTATTACAGGTAGATTGGTACTGTTACAGGTAGATTGGTACTATTACAGGTAGATTGGTACTATTACAGGTAGATTGGTACTATTACAGGTAGATTGGTACTATTACAGGTAGATTGGTACTATTACAGGTAGATTGGTACTGTTACAGGTAGATTGGTACTATTACAGGTAGATTGGTACTATTACAGGTAGATTGGTACTATTACAGGTAGATTGGTACTATTACAGGTAGATTGGTACTGTTACAGGTAGATTGGTACTGTTACAGGTAGATTGTCACTGTTACAGGTAGATTGTCACAGTATTGCTGAAAATAATAGTTATAGCTATTTTAAATGTTATAAAATTAATCATTGTTGTATTTTTGTAATTAGTTAAATATTAATTAAAACGATAATTGCATAGAGGTCTGATTAACACAAGTAAACAACAATAAATATAGATAATACAGAGAAAATGGATGATGAAAAGATAAAAAGAAAATATGAAAGAAACCAGTATAGTGTGTAAAAAGTATTTAATTAGTTCCAGGAAGACAGTTGTGGGCTCCTGTGTCTGGGAGAGAGATGGATGTGTTATGAATATATTCAGCACTGTGGAAATGCCTGTTGCTCCTTCCCGTAAACACACCCCTCCCCGTCTTGTGACCATCGGGTGGCTCTGGTCCTGAGGGTAATGTAGCCAGAACACAAGTGAAATATTAAAACAAAACTCTATTATATAATATTAAATGGGTGAGCAGAAATAGTGGGTTTGGGTGAGGTGTTGAGTCAATGTTATGGTTGAGTTGTAAGTTATTTAAGGATGATGATAACTGAAGGGGTTAACACGTAGTCATCTTGTATGTAAATTTGTTTCTCCTACTAAGAAAAAATGGTAGTTTTTTGTGTACGTCATTAACTCCTCCTTCATAGAATTAACATATTTGTTGTATATGTAGTGTACTAATTAAGGTCTTCCTCGGCCCCTGACAGGTGAGAAGCCTTATGTGTGCACAGTGCCGGGGTGCGGTAAGGCTTACTCCAACTCCTCAGACAGGTTCAAACACACGAGGACACATTTCGTGGACAAACCATATGAGTGTCGCCACCCAGGGTGTGGTAAGAGGTACACGGACCCCTCCTCCCTCAGGAAGCATGTCAAGATCTACGGCCACTACCGCCGCCCGGAGGACCAGAACCCCTCCTTCTCTCTGCCTCCTACCACAGCCTCAGACCTCCTCGACCCCTCCATGGCTGCGTCGGCCAGACTCGACCTCTCACCCTCACCCTCCTCTTCTGGGTCATCTCTCGTGCCTTCGCCGGTGCCTTCTACGCCATCACCCTCTCTCCTACCTCCCACACTGTTCCCAGGAGCCCCCACAGGGCCCAGCATGAGTATGGGTGCAGCGGGTATATCCTCGTGGGGGTCCGTGTCAGCGGCGGCGTGGACGGTGGCGCTGCAGCAGTGTCAGGCTGCTGGGCTGCTGTTTCAGGGCGGGGCTGGGCTGGCAGGGCTGGGGGGCCTCCACCCTCACCCACACATGGTGGAGGAGGAAGAGGAGGAGGAAGAAGTGGAGGAGATGGACACCGCCACTGCACTGGACCTCTCTATGTGTCCCTCACCGCTCGACCTCTCTCTCCCCTCCTCCCGCTCAAAGCACCAGTAACCTCGACAGAACGACCACAACAGTGATAATACTGATGATGACCCCGGCAGTGACCCCTAACAGACGTGAACAGTGATGGAAACGGTGATCTGAGGTGACTGACAGCGGCTGGCAGACTCACACACAGTGCCACTCTATCCAGTGCCTTATGTTGGTGCCGTAACCTAGCGCCGCTGAAGACAGAAGGCGGGCTAATGAGCGTCTGGTAGCAGCTCCGTCATTAGTGGCAGGTGTTGATGGTTGTCCCGCCAGCCTCTCCTTCACCGTCAACAACAACTCACGTCTCTATTGTGCTGAGAAACTCGTGTGTACAAGAGAATGTGGTGATCTTTGATGATATATCTACCGTGAAGTTGACTTAATTTTATACTGAAACTTATAAGTTATATCTGCAGTGCCATTTATAACCTTACTATAGAGAACAAAAGAAGCGCGGAAAATGACTCTATTGTTTCCTTTTGGTGTTGTGAAGCAAGACGAACCTCACACCAGGAAGTATGAACCTCCTGGTATGAACCGTCTGTTTATGAACCTCCTGGTATGAACCTTCTGTTTATGAACCTCCTGGTCGGTAAAGACAAACTCTGAAATAATTCTGAACTCTGAAATTTTTTTTTTTTACAAACGTCTGTCAACAAAGACCATCCAGTGATATTAATTTGTATTTTCGTCTCATCAATACTTACGTAACCTTGGCCACCGTCCTTCAAGTGCTAAGAGTCGTGTCCTAAGTCTTCCTGCCTGAGACAAAGTCGGCATTTATCTGAGGTGCTTTAGTATGGTGCCAAAAGGTTCCTCTCTGAGCGACACCTGATCTGTCTCGTGGAGGTACTGTGCCTTACTGCCTACCTTACTGCCAGAAGGAGCCAAGCCGCTGAGTGTGACCGTGTAAATAGGGAATTCCACTATTTTTGGGGGAAGCTCTTATGTGATATTAACTGTCTTTCTCGTAGTGCACATATATACAATATATATATATATACAGTATTACCCAACTGAAACCGTCCACCGATTGTCCAGTATATATGATGTTTTTCTGATGTAAATACTGAAAGCTGTCGACCACGTTGAGGTGACCGACATCTACGAGGAGAGTCGGTACACCACCCCCCCCCCCCTGTGACCCAATTAATGCCATCAGTGGAATGTGTGTAGGTGATGCAAGGGGCCTCTCCTCGCAACAAGACTGGAGGCCACAGGTTAGAATCTCTGTTTATATTTCCACCTGTCGGGGGGGTTACAGCCAGAATCTTCTGTGAGTGTTAACATCGACCCTTGACATGACGCAAGCCATCTGTCACGTAAAGATGGCATCCAGGTGGTTCCAGCGTCGTCTGGCCACGATGGACATGTCACCTGGACCACTGTTATAATGTGTGGCCATGTGCCCCTCACCGGTCTGTTATTGGCCTCCATATATTGTTTTTATAAAGAAGTGACATAAATATACATATATAGATACAATTATATATAAAGTGAAACCTACATACATGTTGTGACGTCACTCATAATAGAGAAGATTCTTAAACAACTTACAAGAGAGTTGTTAGCGAGGAATGGCCATTAAGTCTCCCAACAGCAGTTCAAGACAGTGCATTAGAAACTGGACATGTAGTGGCCACCTTAACTACCGAACTACCTGAGGGCCACACCCGCCCTCCACAAGTGCCTTGAGCTTAACAGTATTATTATTCACACACCTGGATATTCTTAATATTATCTATATATACTTTTCTCACCTGTATTCGGACACGGGCACATTTCCGTTACATTATTGTTAAGGGGTTTAAACACATTTTCTGATTGGTTCATATCATCAGTAACCTCACCTATATCTGAAAACTGACCAATCAAAACGACAAACGTCAAGGAAGCTGACCAATCAGATAAGCTTGGTGTAACGGGACTGTGACTTTGATCCAATGAGGATACTCGAAATCATCGTCGCATATTTATCTATATTTTCCACTAGATATGTTTATGTTTATGTACCGATAGTTCTCCACCCTGGAGCTTGGCTGGCGGAGAACGAAACTCTGGTAAAAATGGCTTAGAAGAGAGATAATGACACATTGTTTATGGGGATTATATATAACAAGACTCAAAAGTTCGTAAGATAAATTTCTTTTCAGTTGATTGACATAAGAAAGTTAAATATCTCACTTTACCTCAGACATGATCAGTTAGGCTTCAAAAATTACCTTAGAATTCAATCTTAATTACCCAACGTCTATATATTTTTACTCAAACAAAAAGTTTCAAAATAATGTCCTATAGAGTCTTAATGTTAATTGAATCATGTACTAAACCGAAAACACAACATAAATGACCCAAAGTTCTCTCAAATATCTCTTAAAATTCTCTCAATTGTCTCTAAAATTCTCTCAATTGTCTCTAAAATTCTCTCAATTGTCTCTAAAATTCTCTCAATTGTCTCTAAAATTCTCTCAAATATCTCTTAAAATTCTCTCAAGTGTCTCTCCGTCAGCTAAGTTGACGTCATTCTAGTCATTAGATTTTTTACTGCTTTATTAAATCAAAAAATAAAAACTAATGTATTTTTTATTTTCCTTTTTTTGAATTATTCCCATTTTCTGTTTAATTGAGTGAATGTGGTATGGTCGTTTATATATATAAGAATAGGTCGTTTTATTATTCGAAAAGGTCGTCCTACTGTAAATAAAGGCTACGAAACAACAGGTGTCTGACGTGCGATGAAGGACAAGTGGATAAACAAAGAGAAGAGAGTAGTGAGTGAGTAAGAGATAAGATAAACGCAGGAACCAAAAGAGAATAGGAGGCAAAGAGAGGAGATAGATAGAGAAATAGGAATAAAGCAAGAAGTAGGAAGAACAATGGATTACAAGATACGAAATAGGAACATTAACTTGCAGTCAGTGTGTGTGTGTTGGCTCTGGAGGCTGAGCGACAACTTACATATTAACAAATTTATTAGCGTATTTTAGTTGTTATTGTCATATGTTTTAGTCACAAGTTGATACAGTGGACAGATCTGCAGGAGAAACTATTGTATAATATTAATAAACAAGCGTAAGTGAAAACGTAAGATTTTTAAGGGATAACTTTGAAATAAATTAAGTGATCCACGGACGCTTTTGCAATTGGCGGAACAGTTACCCCACGATAAGGATGTTCAGTCTTACTGCTTCATGACTGATCTATGGCGTATATGCAGCACAGGTAATGCAACTCACTGAATAAAACTACATAATTCATATCAGTTAGATATTGTTGAGTGTTAGATGTTTGGGGTTGTAAGGGGGGGGGGGGTGGCTGTTTCTCTCTCCCTCCCTGTAACGTATGACCAACCACTAAACGCAGTAATAAATCTTAAGGTTCCATTTTAGTCCTGTACCTCCACCTTAAATTGACTCTAGCCAACATAATCTATTGTAAAGAGCCTTAAGTCCTCCTGCAGTTCATAGCCGCGTCTCTCGCTATCTTTATCTTCATGGGGCGAGTGTTAGTACAGGGGAACCTGGAGCACCTGCAGAACACCTGCCACGGTCCATGGGGTCACACAGGTCAACCAACACTCTTATTACATCAGACCCAAGCGGGAATCGAACCCTGATAGCAATGGTGAGAGGCGAGAAGTTAAAAATCACTTGGACGATTCAATAATTACCGTCCACCTTTGGAGTAGTTCCAGTACACCAATGACTGTTATAGTTCTTTGTTTAATAAGTTACCTTTTTGTACCTATTTGTCTTGCTCAGCCTTTATTAATTCTGGTTAAAGTACCATTGTTGATGATAATAATAACAACTGTGGAAGGATCATTTTGGTGAAATAGTAACATCAGTAGCATCAAACAGTTTGGCATGCTGAGTCCGGAAGCGTCAATACGGCTTCGTGACGCTGTTCTTCTCGTGAATCATAAAAGATTGTGATGTTACATTTTCCTGAGTTTTATGCATTATACGGTTGATATTTCACATTATACATCATACCAAAGCTAATTTAACAATATAATTCGTGTATAACTCAAGGATTTATCATAATTTTCGGCATTTCGGAGATGTCCAACTCTCGGTACTTTTGTTTGAGAACTTGTACACTGCTTCACCGTTTAAAGTATACTATTTATTTTCAAGTTATTGGGCGCCATAACAACTATACCCACTAATTACAGTTATAAAAGACTTTAACGGAAATATAACACAGGAGGACTTATGAATACATGTTTTTGCTTTATATGTGTTAGAAATAAAATGACCGACTAATTGCCTGGTATGTTGCTAACCTCAACGATACATGACACATCCTCACACTTAGCAATGTAATACATAATGATAAGTAAATTTAATAAAATAACACATATTTCTGTCAACAAGAGCTGGTGTCCTTCCTGACGTCTCCTTCCTTCCTCCCTTGGGTCGTCGGTTTGAACTTTGTGATTCGGTTGGTTCGAAACTGTTTCGGTCTGGGACTCTGGACTCTGGATCAAATGATTAGTTTGTTTCTAGCAGCGTAGTGTGCAGGTGACCGACTCGGTGCTCTCCACTCTCGCCTCCACTTCTACCATATAAAGACTTATTATGTGTGTATACGTCAAAACGAACCATAGCGGGAGTGAAACATTACCCGGACGGCGCAACACAACAAGCACAGATTACGGTAACCTGTTCATTAGTAACGGCAGTTGAATTGATGGTGGGATGAGTTGTCAGACGTAAAGGTGGGTAGCTACGGGTTTTGTTGACGAGAATTATGAGCTACGGGTAAAGGGAAGTAGAGGGAGACAGAGAGACATTATTAGCGCACAAAACACAAGGGAGGGGGGGGGGGTATTATCACGGTAAAGAGGATAGAAGTTTTAAAGATTACGGCAGCCATTTGCATTGTTGTCCTCGTAAATTTCGAGCCGATGTTCCGTCCAGGTGTTGGTGTTCACGAGTACCATGTAAAGGCGGCAGCACACTGGGTACTTTCCTCCAAACATGTTTTGCATTGTGAAGTTTCTTTAAAAGTGGCGGCGGCTGGATGGTCAAAGAAGACTCTAAATAATTTAATAATACTAAAGAAGTTTTAAAGTGACGAATAAATAGAAATACGTCTCCGTTTGTGTTATATTTTTAATTATTATTGTTTCATGATTTATTAAAAAAAATTCTAGAAATTCTATGAGGCTCATTTGAGCACTAATCCGGCCAGCAAAGATCTCTGCCAAACCGTTGTCCATTTCAAGCAACAGCCCAAACCCTGCTGCTTGCTGGGCCGTCAGGCCAACAGCCAGCAAAACGGGCAACATGTTTGGAGGAAAGTGCCCAGTGGCCTTCACTGTCGCCACGGGGAGATTTTGTTATTGTAGGTGATGGCGTCTGGCCGCTTACAAATAGAGTAAGGAATTAAAAAAGGAAAATGTTGGGTTACTTGAGGTAAAAAAAGATAGTGTGAAATTGTTTAAGTTTTGGTGAGGTGAACTTGCGTGTGTGGTGGCCCAAATTTGGAGACGGTTCAATATATTCTGGAGGGCACTGTAGTCGGGAGCAGAGTTGTTCACATTGATCCCTATAGTGGAGTCATCAACATATTCCCAACGAGCAGGAGTTTCTCTCGGGGCACCATTCATAAACATGAGGAAGCAAAACTGTCCCTTCTTGGTGCCTTGAGGGACGCTACAGGGGAGAGTGAACGGTGGAGTCAAGGGCTATGTAGACCTTGGATGGAGTCAGCCCCTCGGAAGCGTACGGCTTGGCGTCGGTCACTAAGGAAGTCTGTAAGCCATGGTATAAGACTTCTCCCAAACCTGAGGTCGGTATCTTTGTTGATGATTAAATTGTGGTGGACTTGGTCAAATGCCTTGGTGAAGTTAATGAAGGCGACAGCCACAGACGTCTTTCGTTTTCCAGATGACGGTATATGGAGTCGAGAAAGCTGACAAGACAGTGGTGGAGGAAGTTTTCATATTGCCAAATTGCTGAGGATCTCGGGGTTTGCCATATCAGCATAGATTCTAATAAAAAACGAAACTTTTATCAGATTAAGTTGGGTATTGGGGTGATGGCGATGGGTTGTAACTCATTTAAATCCCACATTTAAAATCATTCAAGAAACTATTTATTTACGTCCATTTTCTCTATTGCAATAAAAGAAAACGGATTTTGTACAAGGGCAAACTTATTTACTTTTGGTTATGTATAAGAACACTGCTACCACCAAAAGAAGTTGTTCGATTTCGTTCATTTTTCCACAGATGCTCTTATAATTATAGTAAGTATTTTAAAAGAGGCAACACTTTTTTATTTTGATTATAAGTATTTTTTTAATCGATCAGTGCCGAAGAGGACAAAAGTAAAGTAAGTAAAGTATGATCATAAATCACCTGTAGTGGGCAGGGCGTGAAGGATGAGGGAAATTGTCGGGTAAAACGCGGTGAAGAACTGATCATATAACACTGATCGGCTCGTTAGCCGCTTGGGTGATCGGTCTCTGTTACGCACTGTTGGCAAGTACTGGGCATGCACCGGCTCCTGAATGTACCTGAACCTGCTCCTGCTCCAGTGTTGGTCAAATCTGGTCTTGAAAGAGCTTGCACCAGTCCGTCACTACACACTGGCAGATTGTTCCAGAGTTCACAACTCTCATTCCGAAAAAGTTTGCCCTCACAGTTTTCTGGACCTGCAGCTTCTTCAATCTTGAGCTGTGACCTCTGTGGGGCGAGCGTCCGCCAGCTCAAGTAAGGACACTCGACTGAGTAGTGCCCTGAGATGCTTATGCACCTCAATTAGGTCACCTGCCCGTCTGTAGTATAAGCTAGGCATTCAGGCGCTCCAATCTCTCAGGGTAGTTGAGGTGCCGAAGTACAGGCACCAGTCTGGTGGCCCTCCTTTGAACATCACCAGCTGACAGTCCCTAGCATATCTCGGGGACCAGATGGGGTGACAGTACTCCAGATGGGGAAGCACCATCTTGAAGATCGTTACGAGGGACGGACCGTCTAGATATGTGAACGACCTTCTTATAATACCTAATAATTTATCTGCCCGATTTACCTTCTTCTCGCAATGGCCTTGAACTTCAGCTCATTGTCAACATTCAGTCTCAAATAGTGCAGCTTCTTCTTCTCGTTGGGACATATGATACGCCTTCGTACCGTTGGTACGACCCAGGTGCATCCTCTTACATTTCGTGACATTGAATCTCAGCAGCCATTTCTTAGATCATTCTTGCTCACAGAGATCCTTTTGCAACTCTTCTAAGTCCGCTTGGTTCTTGATTTCCCTAATTAGCTTGGCGTCATCCGCAAACATTTGTATGGAGGCGTGTACAACGTCAGGCATGTCATTTATGAAACAAACAAACAGCGGGTCCAATACACTGCCCTGTGGTACCCCGCTTGTGACAGGTACAGATGATGATACCTCTCACCTCTTCCC